AGAAACCAAAAACAAAAGCCGGAGCCAGCAAGTTTGAATGAAACTATTAACTGACTCTCTTGGCAAAAGTGATGCCAGCAGGAAAAGGATGCAGAATGATCATGCAGATTTTATTTTAAAAACAAGATAAAATCATTTTGAGGAACCTCCAGCACTATATTTATTGAAACTTGAATGTAAATAGCTTCAACACGTCTGCCAACTTGGTGCTTCAATGAAAGCTTAAACACCCCCCCCCAAAATATCTAATGATTGCCTAGTTTTTGGATTTGCAAGTAACAAAGCATTGTCTAGTTTCATTCATGGGAGTCTGTTTCTCTGCTGACTTTGCGAACTATCACATCTTATCCCATTGACTTCTGAGCGCAGCAGTCTGTGCTAGAAACCAGGAGTTAGTAACCAGTAATTAATCTGTAAATGCTAGCCCTAAAATGGATAAGAATGGTCCATCTTGCTGTCTAGCTGGAAAGTCTAGTCTACAGAGCTTTGATTTGAATGCATCTGAGAGAACTCTATGCAAGAAAAGGAGAGCATGGCCAAGGCAGATAGACAGGGAGCTCTACAAGGCCCCTTTATACCAAACGCCCTGAGATCTGGACTGCCCATCCTGTGGCACCCATTGTACTTGTGTTACTACTCAAACTGCAGCCCAGCAAAGGAGCCCATGCTAGAACAAGTGAAGCCTTACAAATACCAGCAAGCAGGAGTTATTTTAGACCCGTCGTACCAGCGACTGGGAGTCAATGTTGGCATTCACTTACCTGGAATGCATTTCAGTTAAGCTCTAGATTAAAATGCCTGATCAAGAGAAGAATCAGATCTTGAAAAAAGGAAAAGCAAGACCTGACCCATTACCATAGCTAAAAAGTGACAACAATGAGAGAGAGACAGTTTGGGAAGACCCCAACAAACTGCAATGCTAAGGGTGGTTCTTGTCAGCGATGCGAGAGAAAGGCAACCAAATGGTGAGAGCAGCCGTGTACTTGAAGGGAGGTGAGAGAGGGTGGGACTATTAAACTTTGTTACATGCAGGGAGAGATCCCAGAACAGGCTCAGCCCCTCCTGGGAAACGAACCCTCCACTTGCCTTGAAGTGAAGGGCACCAAGTACATCCCTAGTGTCACTCAAGACCAAAAGGATTTAGGCATTAAATACTTTTTAAAATACTTTTTAGGCTTTTGGCCATGGTGTCTCACAGGAGCAGCCTTTCAAATTTTGTCTGAGTGTAAAAGCAATCTCTTTCCTATCTTTGCTGCTCATCAATTTTTAGAGCCAGCCATATCAGATCTGACCTCCTGTGTAAGGCAGCCGAATGCTGCTAATACTTTTTACTTTGTCCTGCATTGATGGACACATCTCCTTTCATGCCATGCCTACAGACTAGCCCTAGCATTTCAACAAAGCAGCTGAGCAGACTGGAAATTCCTTCTGTCCAGCTCTCTCATGCATGGCTGAACTGTGACTAAGGTAGTGCCTTTTTCTGGGATGTTTGATTTTCTTCCTTTTTTCTTCCCTCTTTCTTTTTTCCCCACTGTGGTTGTTAACACCACCTTCTTGTGTAACAGGGCACTTTTAAACCATTCCCACTGGAAAAACTGCATCTCCAACCAGAGCCAAAGTCCAGGTCTGAGACACTCTGGGAATGCAGGTGGACGGCTCTGATTCACCTTGCCACGAGAACAATGTCAGACTCTTATTTGGATCAAAGCAAAACAGATGTCACCAGAGCATGAATTAACAGGGACGATGGTAAATGTTTTTGCATTCGGTTCCCATTCGTATGCATTTGGCTCAATGAGAAACAGAAGCCTGTGGTCTAAAAGGAAGCCTGAGGCTTTGGCTAATGGCACTTACCCCTCGGTGGAGAGGCAGTGGAGGCTACAGAAGCGTCAGGAGACATGCTAACATGAGCTCATTATGTTTTTCTAGCCAGAGCTCACGCCTGGATAGCCCGTGGGTTATCACAACAAAGTGAGGCTGCCAGCTCGCAGCGCACCGGGGCAACGTGGCAGGACAGAGCCGCCTGATGGGCTCCTTCGGGACGCAGGGCTGCCCGCGCAGGTCTCCCTGCCCCATCGCAGCAGGTACGTCTGCGTGCAAGGCAGAGAAGAAAGAGGAAGAGGGATGTCTTTTTGTCTGAGCCTTGAATGCTGACTCAGGATGATTCGTCTGAGGTTCTGGGGAGAAATGAATGAAAGATCTCCCGCATCTTTGCAGTGAGGCAAAACCTAATCTAGTCTATTCTAAACATGCACTGATTAATAGGCTATTTATTAGTCCAGGTACAGAAAATAATGGTGTCTTTTGACAAGAGACTCCTGCCACTGACCTCTCCATTTAGCCTCCGTTTTTTCTGATTTCACCTTAATTGGGATCAGTAAGGAGATACGGCCAAAGCAGAGCTTCAGGGTGAGTATCACAAAGCAGTTGACAGATTGCTCATCCCTATCAACACACAGTCACAACAATTAAATTGATAAAATGAATACAGTTTTCCATTTACATAGCAAATACCCATTTGAAGTCCCAAATTTATTGGTAGCACTTGATGGGGTTAGGATCTCATAAATTTTGATTGTATAATAAATAAAAATGCTTTGTAGGAATTACAGCACGCTACTCCTCTACTTCCCCACACAGGCCATAAGAAGGCAGCGGGCAGCCCAAGAGCTCAGCAGGAGGAGCTCTCAGCAGGTCCCTCCTGCCTCTGCCCCACCGGCTGGGACTGGGGGGAGCGTGCACCCTGCCCCGCGCCTCAGCAAACTGGCTGACCCTCCTGCCATGTAAATGGGATTCATTCCTCCATTAAAAAAACAAATTTATACCAAAAATCGATCTGAAAGAAATCCTGTAAGCTGAACCCAGGACAGAATAACGACACTTTCATTTATGACCGTACAGCATGTAAAGCAACATGCCATTTGCTAAATGTCTTGGAGGATATGTTTTTCACTCAGATTGAATTATCCACACTCAGAGTAACCCCTCTTGAGCCTAGCCTGAGTATGAATAACCAGACTATGAAATAGCCCTAAAAATGTACAGAATACAAGATTTGCTTTTGCAACAGATCTGTTGCTTTACCTCGAGCTATAGGTTAAGGTTTGGCTAGATTAAAATTAAGATAAAGGGAGTAACACAGCAATGAAGGTGTGTAGTGTGAAAATAGGCCTGACTGAAGAGTGGCACTGAAGATACAACATACTTCAGCAAAGATAAGCCCAGAGAAGCCTTAAGGTATT